CGAAGTTCATTTTGCATTTTTTCTACATGTGTTTTTGATGCATTTTTTTAATACGTTTTTGCCATGTTTTGTTCAGTTTTTTTCTTTTGAAGTGGATTTTTTTATGTTGCTGGGCAGAATAAAAATGCAAAACACAGGAAAAAACGCATGACCATGCATTTCAGCAGCTTCTCCGTTGAACTCTATTGTAGCAAAAACGCTACTTTTTGCTTTTAAAAGAAGTCCCTGACCCTTTCCGAAAACACTGCAGCTCATAAAACCAAAGATGTGAACATGTTCCATAGGAAACCATGGTAAATGGACTGTAGTGCGTTTCTGCAAAAAGCATTAAAAGATGCATTGGTGTGAACGGAGCCACAGTGTTGCTTTAATGCCTTTGATGTGCATTTGAAACCCTATCTCACTATCCAAGATAAACAAAATTTGATTTTGAATTCTTAGTTCTTTCAAGCTAAAAATGTCTGGCATCCAGAAGGTGGTCTGATGATACTTACAACCTGAATGTGGAAGTCAAAGTCTGGAAGCATATCACCAGGATACACAAAACTCTGAACCACATGATGCCACAAGGAGAGCGAGCTGCTTCTGTGAGGCTGGACTTTACTATTACACAAGGTCAGATAATCATCGATGAGATATAGAATAGCCCATGTGACCTAAAAAAGAATGAATATTGTCAATAGAGACAGAAGAAAAATGTTGAAGCAACAAAGGAAGCAGAGGCATCTCTATGAGGTGCAAAAGAAAAAAATGCAAATTAAAAATATAACACAAATAAAATATATATACATGTCGTTGTGGTGTGTCCATAATGCTAAAAATGATTCAGATTTCTAAATTATTACTAGCACCTTGCAAGTGGTTGGGTAGAACAAGCTGCTGAGCCATGATTTTACCACCCCCTGACCACACCCACTTAATCTAACAAAGAGGGGGTTGTACCAGGGGCGGACTGACCATTTGGAAACTCGGGCACTGCCTGAGGGCCCGGGGTCAGTAGGGGGCCCCATGAGATGCCCCTGGTACCTTTTTCATAGGCTTTTTTGAGTTTGGGCAAGGACACAGGGGCCCCATGATCCCCTATTGCCCGGGGGCCCCATGAGTTGTCAGTCCGCCCCTGTGTTGTACACATGCCAAAGTAGCAATGCTTTGCTTCATGACCATGACAAAAATTTATAGCCCATGTTGTGGGCAGTACCATTGAATGGGGCTGCACGGCAATTGCAATGCATGTAGTTGCTGCATGGTTGTGAGGGCTTTATGAGTTAAAACAGGCAGAGAGGAAAATTTCAGAAAGTACCGTACTGGGCCGGCATTTTTCATTGCTTAAAGTTTAAAAAAAAAAATTAAATAAAAATTCCTTTAAATATCATACCTGGGGGGGTCCCCTTAACCGCTTACCTGCCGCCGTATAGCAGATACTGCTACACGGCATCACGGGTGCACAAAATCACGTATATATACACGATTTTGCATAGCCGGGTAGGGGGCACTCACGAGCCATGCACACGCTCTACCCGCTCCGCCATTCGCGGCCACGGATGTCAATCACCGGGTCCCATCCAGTGATTACCTGCCAGCGCCGGTGATTACCAACAATGTTTACAAACAGTCTTCCTACCTGTCAGCTTGGACACACTGCTCTGGATGGCTGTACACAGCACAGCCATCCCAATCAGTGTGCTTACAGTGAAGCACAGACCCCCCCCCCCGCCCCCCGTAAAACACTCCCTACACACAGTTAACCCTTTGATCGCCCCTCACAATAACCTCTTCCTGCCCAGTGCCATTAGTACAGTGTCAGCACTGTTTTATAGCACTGATCACTGTATTGGTGTCACTGGGGATGTCAGTGACACCAAGTTATTCCCCCCCCCCCCCCCCCCCGTGTCAGAATGTCCACCGCAATCCCGCTAAAAGTCGGTAATCGCCGCAATTACTAGTAGGAAAAAAAAATTCAAGTATCTATACCGCCATTTGTAAACGCTATAACTTTCACGTAAACCAATTAATTTACACGTATTGGGATTTTTTTTAGCAAAGACATGGAGCAGAATAATTTTGGCCTAAATTTATGATGACATTTGATTTTTTTTTTTTTTTCACTGGACATGTTTAATAGCAAAAATTCCAAAATATTGTTTTTTTCTCAAAATTGTCAGACTTTTTTTGCTTATAGCGCAAAAAATAAAAAACGCACAGGCAATCAAATACCACCAAAAGAAAGCTCTATTTGTGGGAAAAAAAAGAATGTAAATTTCATCTGGGTACGGCATTGCATAACCGCACAATTGTCAGTTAAAGAAACAAAAGTGCATGGGGTTCCCCCTAAAAGCCCTACCAGGCCCTTTAGGTCTGGTAGGACTTTTAATGGGAACCCCACTCCTCAAAAATGGGGTGGGGGGAAAGTGTGGAGTCCCCCCTAAATTTCTACCAGATCCACGATCTGAGCACAGGCCTGGTGGGCCAGAAAAGGGGGGAACGAACTGGCTCCCCCCTCCCTTCCCTCTGGCTTACCAGGCCTTGTGCCCTCGGCATTGGGATGGTGTTCCCATACTAATAGGGACAAGGGCCTCTTCCCCTCAACCCTGGCCCGGTGGTTGTGGGGGGGGGGGGTCTGTGGGCAGGGGAGCTCATTAGCATCAGGGTACTCCTTTAAATAAGGGGGTGCTTGTACCCCTACCTGTTCACTAAAGGTTTAAATTCAGTAAAAAATAAAGACGTCAAACTTTTGAAAAATTCCTATGTTGAACAAAAAAACAAAAACAACAAGTCCTTTTAAAAAAAAATGGTTCCAACATTGTAATCCATCGTCAATCCATCGTCTAACATTGTCACGCCGCCGCTGACTTGCCGAAATATAAAAAAGCCTGAACCCATCCGCATCTGCCACAAACTGACATTTACCAGTCAAAGGTAAACAACTGGGCGGAGCTAGCAGTGACGTCGCAGCTAGTGCCACCCAATTGTGCTGTGATTGGCCAAAGCATTGCACCTGACCTATGGGCAATCACAATGCACTGTAGGAGCGCAGTGCATTGTGGGGCGCAGGGGGCGAACAGCCCACCGAATGCCCTTACTGTTCATGTGTTCAGCGAACACATGAACGGCTGATGCTCGAGTTGAACTCGCATTCGACTCGAACATCAAGCTCATCTCTGAGAACATCTGTATCATAATTACAAAGAAATAGCCTAATGATTAGACACATTGCTGAAATGTGAAAATGCGTTCTGGTCCAAAGGGGAATAAACAGATATGAGAGCTAAAGTGGTTAAAGGGGGTTCAGAACAAAGAAAAACAAAAACTGCTGTGTTAAAGTGGTTGTAATAATTCTAATTCTATGCATGAAGGTAAAAAACCTTCTGTGTGCTGCTCTCCCCCCCCCCCAATACTCACCTGAGCCTCCTCTCGATCCAGCAATGTGCACGGGAGCCTCTCTCCTCAATCACAGCCAGTGAGCCAATGAGGAGAAAGCAGGGGGCGGGGATGAGCCGCGACTCTATGTGTCTTATGGACGCATATAGCAGGGCTCGGGAGCAAGGATGCACCAGTGCCCCCATAGCAAGCAGTTTGCTATTGGGGGCATTGGTTAAAGGGGAGGAGCCAGGAGCACTGGTGGGGGACCCGGAAAGAAGAGGATTGGGGCTGCTCTGTGCAAAACCATTGCACAGAGCAGGTAAGTATAACATGTTTGTTATTTTTTTTTGTTAAGCCTTTAATATCACTTTAACCTCCTCGGCGGTATGATTATTTCAGATTTTTGGTGCTGAAAGCGGTACATTTGTTTGCATGGAAATATGTAGTTTTTTTATTGTAGGCCTGTAATTTAAGAATAACTCACTGAAATCTGTCCGAACAAGAGTCTAGTAAACATCCCGGGTATGATAAAACTTGAAACACGAAATCATAAATTATAATATAATAAAATAATTATAAACAATAACATTATAATAATAATACATTTAATTTAATCAAACCAAAAACACTGAAATGTGAAATATAGCGCCAAGTTCGCACATCACTGAGCAAAGTCACAAAATCGTTTTCAGTGTCTGATGACGAATTTCCCCCACGAATCATTATCACTCAATTCTGCAAGTGGTTCTAATTTACTATCGCTGTTCTCTAGCCGGTCTAAAACCGCTTTTGACGTAAAGGGACGCTTTTTGGACGCCATGGACTTTTCTCAGTTTCCAGGCAGAAAGAACAGTCAAAATGCAGGCAGGGCGCCGGACAAAGCACTCGGGACAAAATGTATGTGAAATGGGTTGAAACAGCAATGTTTTACTATGTAATAATAATTTTTTAAAAAATGACATTTTTTAAAAATTTCAAATTTGCCGCCGGTACCGGAGGTTAATTCTAGTGACAGTCTGCATCATACATGTCATTTTGTTTTTAGTTATAGTTACACGTTAACTGTAGGTGTCATACAATAAGTTATGTTGGCTGGGTGTTTTATAATAATGCATTTAGTAAAGTTTTGGTCTTGGAAACATGGGATGCAGTGACACACTGTGGAAGCCCCACACTCAAACAGCTTTTGGAATATTTCCATATAAGGAAATAACAGAAAATGATCTACCGTATATACTTGAGTATAAGCCGACCCGAATATAAGCCGAGGTACCTAATTTTACCACAAAAAACTGGGAAAAACTATTGACTCGAGTATAAGCCGAGGGTGGGAACACCAGTGGGAAGAATCGTACCTCATCATTGGTGTCAGTGGGAGGAATAGTGCCCCATCATTGGTGTCAGTGGGAGGAATAGTGCCCCATCATTGGTATCAGTGGGAGGAATAGTGCCCCATCATTGGTATCAGTGGGAGGAATAGTGCCCCATCATTGGTGTCAGTGGGAGGAATAGTGCCCCATCATTGGTATCAGTGGGAGGAATAGTGCCCCATCATTGGTGTCAGTGGGAGGAATAGCGCCCTATCATTGGTGTCAGTGGGAGGAATAGTGCCCCATCATTGGTATCAGTGGGAGGAATAGTGCCCCATCATTAGTATCAGTGGGGGGAATAGCACCCCATTATTGGTGTCAGTGGAATAGTGCCCCATCTTTGGTATCAGTGGGAGGAATAGTGTCCCAACATTGGTGTCAGTGGGAGGAATAGTGTCCCAACATTGGTGTCAGTGGGAGGAATAGTATCCCATCATTGGTGTCAGTGGGGGGGTGGAAGAATAGTGCCCCATCGTTGGTGTCAGTGGGGGGGAGGAAAAGTGCCCCATCGTTGGTGTCAGTGGGGGGGAGGAATAGTATCCCATGATTGGTGTCAGTGGGGGGTGGAATAGTGCTCCATGATTGGTGTCAGTGGGGGGTGGCATAGTGCCCCATCATTGGTGTCAGTGGGGGGGGAGGAATAGTGCCCAATCGTTGGTGTCAGTGGGGGGGAGGAAAAGTGCCCCATCGTTGGTGTCAGTGGGAGGAATAATGCCCCATCATTGGTATCAGTGACACAAATGATGGGGCACTATTCCTCCCACTGACACTTGCTGACCCCTGTTCCAGTATGGTGCTGCTGCAGCCAGCATATGTGGTTGCAGCAGCACCTAAGCACGGCACACTTACCTGCATCTCCTTCACTCGATTTTTGCGGGGCCGCTCAGCTCCGCCTCCTCGCCGTTGATTGGCCGCCTGTGTGCCTTTCCTGAGCTACAGTTCTGGCAGCCAATCACCGGTGAGAAGGCGGAGCCGAGCAGCTGCGCGAACATCCAGTGGACGAACCGAATGAACGAGCAGCCGCGCTTCCTGGACCGGATCGTCGTGGGACCGGAGCCAGGTAAGAGACAGCAGCCCCCTGCAGACGTTTACTCGAGTATATGCCGAGGGGGCCGTTTTTCAGCACAAAAAATGTGCTGAAAAAACTCGGCTTATACTCGAGTATATACGGTAAATACTTCCCTGAATTTTCCTTGACTAGGGTAACCCATATGTCTCCAAGTCCTTCTACATCTCACCATAGCTACCCTTCCCAACTTATACTAATTAAGAAATTACCAAAGACCCGATCCGGAGAAAATTGGCCGACTTAACTTTATTAAATAAACCAAAATAACATTCCTTAAGACAGAAAACGTAAACCAATTGACAGGCTGCTGGTCTTGGAAGGCACTTGAGAATCAACATCAGGTTGTATATCTGTGTTACTACTTCACGATACCCAGCCGCAAAACACCGGCTTGGGGACAAACCCACTTTTCTGCAGATACCATCTTGTTACCACTTCCTAGATAATACCCCATTAACTGGGATCCAACAGAGGTTGCCATACCTTAGATGGGTCACTGCTATAAACTGTTCCAAAAATGTTAACACCTCCAAAGGCCCTAGGCCCCAAACAAAAAAAATAACAACAGGGCAGGAAGATTCCTACATGTCCGCTGCTCCCAAAAATGTTGCCACTCTTTGGGTCTCTTCCTCGTGTACCCCCCCCCCCCCCCCAGCAGCTCCACCTACTTTCCACAACTCCCAGTCCGGTAAATGACCACCTTTTCTGGCCAACTATAGCTTCCTGTTGTCTCAGCATGTCCTGGGAATCCCAGGACAGTCTTTAGATTAGCTTGCAGGCAGGTATAGTCTGTTTCCTCCACTGTAGATGGAGCTCGACCAGAGTGGTACTGCAGCTGGAGAAAAAGTGAAGAGAAACCTGGTTTCTCTATGGTTTTCTTGGTCCCCTTGGAGCAGCCTCCTGGTTGGCTATGCTGCATCCAGCTGACCCTGGCAGAATCTTTTTAAGTCTCTGCCCCCAGATTTTGATGCCCCCCCAAGCTCCCTCTTGCTCTGCAAGTTCCTCAATACATATAGTTTCTGTTGCATCCCTGGCCTCAGTGTCCTTACTGCCACTGCACCATGCTGCACCTACCCCACTCTTGGTGGCAGTCGGCAGGATATGTCCCTATTTGCAGCGGGTGCTGAAGGAGGATCAGGGACTTACTGTATATGGTTTCATTAGGAGCAGCTTTGGCATTAGTGCCCAAGTTTAACATTTCTCTGTCTGGATGGGAGGAAAGACTGGAGAATGCCCTAGTGGAACACTAATATGCCAAAATGTTGATGTGCTAGGAAATGGAATTCTCAACATGTATTTTGGTAAAAAGTTTTTGTTTTCCAGGCACTTTGCCATAGCCACAAATGTGGATACTGAGAAGCATTTGATGGTGCTTTTAAAAACCAAATGTAATTAAATTTGGAAAGAATAGTAGAAGTCAACACCTTTTTTTTGCAGAAACCAATCAGCTTCTTGGTTTTATTGTCAATGCTTAACTGAACAAGCTGAAGTCAGAAGCTGATTGGTTACTATGCACAACTACACCATATTCCAGTTTTAGTAAATCTCCCCTTATGTCCTTATAGATCTGGCTTTGTACACAGGAGCACAATCATGCTAGAACAGAAATAGGCCTTCTCCAGACTATTGCCACAAGGTTGGAAGTTCACAGTTGTCTAAAATGTCTTTGAGAAATGCCCGTAGCGAAAATAAAGAAGAAATAGCGCAGGGCATACATGACTAGGCCCAGAGTGGGGGAAGGAGGAGCAGAAAGGGTTAAGGTTAGCTCCAGGGGGATTTGTTTTGATAGTGGGGGTAGATGATTGGTACAGGTTGGTGTAGGTGGGGTTTTTGCTGCACCTTAGGGTGGGAGGTTCTGTGAGGGGGCGTTAGTTTAGCTGGACAGCAGGAGTGTGAGCTTGGTGTCTGTTTAGCACACCTTGCTTCAGGACCCCCCCTTTTTTTTAGATCTGCCATGGACGGCCTTCTGGCTCAACTGCGGGAGGCAGCGGAGGACAGGGGGATGGACTGGCTGCAGAGCCGGGTCTCGGATCTCTTACAGGATCCGGGCTCATCACCTGCAGCAGGGGGGCGGGAGCGCCCACGTGCTCAGAGGTCTAGGCCTCCGGAGCGCTTTAGCCCGGGCTCCTCCCCCCTCCCAGAGCTCAGTGCCACCATGGAAGCCCCGCTCGGGCCCCTCCGGCTCCGCTGGCAGGGCGCTCCCTTGCCTCTGCTAGCGGGGAAGCCGGGAGGAATCCCCGCCATCGGCGGAGCTTGGTGGGCGGGGCCTCGTGCGGGGGAAGCCCCTCCCCCCCGCCTGCACGGCGTGGAGGGAGGAGAAAGCTGCGGCTCCTCCTCCACTGACAAGGTGCCGGTCAGGGAGGGAGCCCTGCGCGGGAGGCGCACAGCTGCGGCTGCTGGGCTGTCTCCTGCTGCGGCCGGCGGGCCCCCTGAGAAGTCTGGGGCTCCGGCTCCAGTGAGGCAGCAGCGTGGGATCGGCACTGGACGGAGTGCAGCAGGGAGATCTGCGGCTGCTGGGCTGTCTCCTGCTGCGGCCGGCGGGCCCCCTGGACAGTCTGGTGCTCTGGCTCCACAGAGGCATCAGCGGAGGACTGGAGCTGGGCGGAGGGCAGCTGGAAGTGCTGCAGGTCGGAGCCCAGGGTCGGCGGTGAGCGTGGCTGGTGCCGGGAGGCGGAGTCGTGAGCGACACAGACCAGCAGGACCCGTGGCTCCTGGGACCGGGAGGCCATCTGAACGTCGTGCGGAGGACGAGATGTCGGAGGGCGAGCTGTCGGAACCCGATGCGGGGGCGACGGCTGGCCGCTCTACAACGGTGGATCGTGAGCGCGCGGCTGATGGGGCATCTCCTGGGCAGCCTGGAGAGTTACCTGTTCTGGGGTCTATCTCTTTTTCTTCTGCGTTACGGGATCTGCTGGGGGGTGGTAGGGCCGCTACGGTGGGCGGGCCTCTGCGGCGTGCACTGTTGGCGTTCCCCTGTCGGGTATGGGTGGGGGTCTCGGTGATGTGATTTCCGGTCTGCGGGACCTGTTGCAGCGTCTTAAGTGGGGCAGTGGTGGGGCGCCTGGGCCCGCTTCTGCGTGGGTCCCGCCGGATGGTGGGGAAGGTTTCGGGGTTCTTGTACAGGACAGCGGGGCCGTGCGGCGTCCGGGGGTCTCTTCTCCTCCGGGGTCTGGGCTAGGGGTTGTTCCGGCTGAGACAGGTGATCGGGGTTCTGCGGCCCCCTCGGCGGTGTTGGGTGAGGATTCGAGGGTGTCCGGGCCTGTCGGCTTGGCGGACTCGGCCAGGGGCAAAGTGTACGTGTGTTTTGAGGGCCCTTTGGGTGCGCACTTACAGTCGGAGGTACGGGAGAAGATTTGGAGTGGGGAGTATGTTGATATATTCTCACTCTTGCCTTTGGAGCGTTTTCCTTTTGATGGGTCCCGGGTTGACGAGAGTAGGTGGGTGGAAGCGGAACAGCGGCATTTTCGTTTTATCCCGCGTACCTTTGCAAATTGGTTGCAAGAGTTCGCGATCATGGCCAGTGTGATTGGGGAGAAGGCTCCTGAACATTGCTCGGCACTGTTCTGTTACCTAGATGCCATTGGTGAGGCTCACAGGGTTTATGGGGGTACTGCGTGGCTTCGGTACGATGAGCAGTTTAGGCAGCGGAGGGTGGTTCGCCAGTCGTTGCGTTGGGATCATAAGGACATTGGCCTCTGGATGCGACTCATGACACCGGCGAGGGCCCCTGGTTCATTTTTTCAGGGTGGGGCCGGCGGTTCGTTCTCCCCGGGACAATCGGCTTCCAGGCGTAAGGGGTTCTGCTGGCAGTTCCAAGAGGGGACGTGTCGATTTGGTGGGTCTTGCCGTTTTAGGCACGAATGTTCCGGGTGCGGTGGCTCCCATCCCTTGTCGCGCTGTTTCCAGCGGGGTCGAGGCCTTCCCAGAGAGCATGTTGGTAAGAGGGACGACTCCGGTGCGAGTGGAGAGGATGGGGCCTTTCTTAAAAAGGTATCCTGATCGGGCAGCTGCAGTGCTGCTGACGGCGGGTTTTTCGGAGGGTTTTCGCATCCCGTGTGCTTTGACTTTGATTCCTCCCTTAGCTCGAAATTTGCGGTCGGCCTTGCGGCATGAGGAGGTGGTTTCGGCTAAGTTGCGTAAGGAAGTGGGGTTAGGACGCATGGGGGGTCCGTTTGCTTGCGCTCCGTTTTCAGATTTGGTTGTTTCTCCCTTGGGGGTTGTGCCCAAGAAGGAGCCTAATGCGTTTAGGTTAATTCACCACCTGTCCTTCCCTAAGGGGGGGTCGGTGAATGATGCTATTGATCCGGAATCGTGTTCGGTGTCTTACACGTCTTTTGATGCGGCAGTTTTCTGGGTTCGTCGGTATGGGCGCGGTGCGCTCATGGCGAAATCGGACATTGAGTCGGCGTTTCGGCTGTTGCCAGTCCATCCGGACAGTTTTCATTTTTTGGGTTGTCATTGGCAGGG